CTATGATGTTGGTTAGATTATTATGCTGTAAAAACACATATTGTTGAAGGCTATACAGTAAATTCACAGTAAAGGTAAAGTACAAATTGGATTCTTCCTGATTTGTAAGCTGTGCTATAAGGACCGTGCCTTGAGTCCTTTTATGGAGAAAGGTGAGGTAAAAATATTTTAAATACATAAATAAAGCCTAATCCTGTGCCTTCCCTACTCAGATGTAAATCCCAGTAGGTTCAATGAGGCTGAAATTCAACCAAAACGTGGAAAAATTACTGACTATGCTGGTTAAGGGGTGGGGGTGTGAAGTCTGCAAATTGTAAATGAATAATTTTTCAAATTTTACACCTCAAATAACTGCAATCCTAGGCCTGTCTAGCTAGAAGTAAACACTAATGAATTTAGTGCTGCTTACTTTCAAGGCCTGCAAATAACTACATACTAATAGCAGAATCATGTTAGGAAATGAAGGGGATACAGCAGCCATTCTTAATCTTGGTTTTTTGTTTTGTCACAGTCATAAACATGTATGAAAGAATTATAGGCCAAATCAGGATTGTACAAGTTGCATAATGGACCTTATAAGATGGTATGTGAAAAAATGTTTCCAGTCTTCGGCCCCCTTTAAATTTGCCACGGCCTCCAGGGGACTTATGGCCTCTGTTGAGAATGGCTGGCGTAAAGGATAAATACAATCACCATCCTGCAGTTATGCAAGTTGAAGACTGCTTCTCTGAAAGCAACAGGCTTTTTATATGTGCAAAGCGGTAGTGAACATGAATGGCCCTTTGAACAAATTACCAAAAAAACAAGGACATTAGGACAATTGTAGGCACAACTGTTGCGGACATACAGTAATAAAAACAAACAAGATTTTTGCCAAAATGTGAACAGCATTATAAATACATAACAGTACAATCTCATATATGCTTACCTGGACATAAGGCGCTATGAACATAACTTCGCTTACAATTGAGTTGACAAGAATTGCCAAAACCCTGTTGCTTGCTCTAGTAAATTGCACTAGAGTAGGCCCAGTGAATCAGTGGGGATTTATTGAGTCAACCCCTCTATATGTGCCATTGAATCATATGTGCCTATCATACTGCAACTTAAGAGTAGAATAGGCCCATCTGAATTAATGGCACATATAGAGGAGTTGACTCATAAAATTCCCATTGATTCAATGGACCTAATCTAGTGCAATGCACTATACTAAGCAATAAGGTTTTGGCCACTGAGTTGTGCTGTGAAATACTGATGATATAGATAAAACATACTGTATCTTTCCACGTATAAGACTATACTTTTGTCTAAAATCTTTAGACTAAAAATTGAGGGTCGTCTTACACACGGAAGTAAGCTGAGGAGAGAACAAAAAGAAGTGGAGGGGAAAGCAGGGATCAAAGCGATCCTACAGTACTTTCATCCCTTTCCGCCTACACTTACAAAGCCCCACTTAGATTTCTTAATTTCGGATTAGAAAAGTGGAGGGCGTCTTATACATGGGGGCGTCTTATACACGGAAAATACGGTACTTCCAAACACATGAAAGCTTGTATACAAATCAAAGATGACTGCTGGAATCCAGACTTTTTGGGTTCCCCATGCAACCATGTGACTTTCACCGTCAAACCACTGTTTCATGATTTTCCAGCTTTCTTTCCATTTCTGAAGGATGAAATGCCTCTCCTAACACATACATATGGGTAAACAGTAAGAGCTTGAATTTCCCCCTAGAATTTCTCTAAGACTGAGTTCAGCTCTTAGGTTGAAAGAAGTTCCCACTCTTCAATCTCTAAAATCTATTCTAGATCAGCCTATTTAATATTGAAATCTTTATTATCATCATCAACACTGAAAAAAGATAAGGCTTTGTTTCAGGAATCATAAGTATCTGCACAAAGAAAATTCAAACACATTTCATTTGTACTATGTGTGAACCTAAGTGTTTACAACCCAAATGAAACCTCTGTAAATTCCATGGGAAGTTCTACTTTTTTCCCCAGTACAATTTATCTCCAGGAAAAAAATGGCTAATCTGTAGCCTCCAATACAATTTTTTCAGAACTTAATTCTACTGGGTTCAACACAGCTTAATCTCCTGTGAGATTATATAGGATTGTAGCCTTACAATATAATTCATGATATAATTTCATAATCACAGAAGTAGAATCTATGTAAAATGAATGTGCAGAACTACAGTGGTGCCTCGACTTAGGTTTGTCCCTACTTATGACCATTTCGACTTACGAACAGCTCCGGACGCAAATTTTTGCTTCAACTTGTAGCCGGAGCTTCAACTTGTGACCAGGAAAAGGCAGGGGAAAAGAGCGTGAAATTCAAACCGTTGGTGAAGAGGCTGTTTCTTTGTAGCTCTTTCACCCCAATGGCTAGGGAAAGGGATGCAGCGGCAGGGGGAGGTGGCAGCCACACTGGTCCTCGGAACCAGCACCAGTGGCAAGGAGCACCGAGGACTGAGGCAGCTGCCTCAGCGAGCAGCCGCTGGTGCCGGTTCTGGAGCTAGTGTTGGGCAGCAGTGGTGGCATTGGCCCGCGGACAGCAGCGACGACCGACGCGGCCACCCCGGTGAACAGCCTCTGGTGCTGGTTCCGGAGTTGGAGGTAGAGAAACGGAGGGGGGGAGACCGCGAGGCGAGGCTGGCAGGCAGCTTGCCAGGGTCGCCTCATAGGGGATGCTGCTGTTGGGTTTCAGGCCTCCAGGCCAAGAGCTGCTGTCGCTGCTGCTTCTGCTCCTCGTCCCCTATGCCAGCGGCGGCGGTGGTAGGGTGAGGAAGTGGTTTGGGGAAGGAGAGGCTCCGGGGAGCCAGTTAGGCGGCACAGAGGGTGCTGTGGCTCTGGCTGAGTTAAATCAGTCAACAAAGAACCCACTGCCACTGGGACTAGGCAGGCAGAGGGACCGGGACGCCAGGGAGAGGAGGAAGAGGACAAGAGAGGGAGAGCTGGCTCTCCCCATGGCGATCAGTGCGCCACTGCCGCCAGTCCCTGGCCAGGGTCAGCCCACGGAGCTCCCCGCGTCAGGAAGATGAAGGAAGCGGGCAACAGCAACGTAGAGGCTGGGGTCGCTCCGCATGGAATCCACATGCAGAAACTCGCCGAGCCTTCCTTGGCTTGCGAAGGCTGGCTCGCTCAGCCAAAAGAGATAGCTCAGTCTCCCACTGCTCCTCTTCACCCCATCAACCCCTGTCTAAGGTAAGGTGCTGGTTTTTTGTTTTTAAAAACCATTCTAGGTGGGTTTTGCAAGGCTGGGACAGGGGGGTTGTTTCTATGGTGTGTTGTTTGGTCTTTTGTGGATGGAGGGACCGGGACGCCAGGGAGAGGAGGAGGAGGAGGACAAGAGAGGGAGAGCTGGCTCTCCCCATGGCGATCAGTGCGCCACTGCCGCCAGTCCCTGGCCAGGGTCAGCCCACGGAGCTCCCCGCGTCAGGAAGATGAAGGAAGCGGGCAACAGCAACGTAGAGGCTGGGGTCGCTCCGCATGGAATCCACATGCAGAAACTCACCGAGCCTTCCTTGGCTTGAGAAGGCTGGCTCGCTCAGCCAAAAGAGATAGCTCGGTCTCCCACTGTTCCTCTTCACCCCATCAACCCCTGTCTAAGGTAAGGTGCTGGTTTTTTGTTTTTAAAAACCATTCTAGGTGGGTTTTGCAAGGCTGGGACAGGGGGGTTGTTTCTATGGTGTGTTGTTTGGTCTTTTGTGGATTTTTTTTGCAGTTTTTTGTTTAACCATTCTAGGTGGGTTTTGCAAGGCTGGGACAGAGGGGTTGTTTCTGTGGTGTGTTGTTGTTTGGTCTTTTGTGGATTTTTTTTGCAGTCCCAACGTGGGGCTTGCTCTGTTTATTTTTATTTTTTGAGGGTTTTTTGGGGAGGTTTTTTGGCCAGGATGGATTAATTGCTTTCCCAATTTCTACTTATGTTCCATCTTCTGGAACAGATTATGGCCGTAAGTCAAGGCACCACTCTATTTGTAAAAGCTACTACTCTTCTCTCATATAATTCTACCCTATCCCCTGGTTGATAAGCAAGTGTTTGATTCTTTCTTCTACTTAAACAAATAAACAAAAATCCATTGTTTTCCTTATAGTATAAAATAAGTTTCCCGAAGTGCTTGCATGCCAAAAGATACTGCCTACAAATTTTAAAAACACAGAATTTACTCAAAAAAATATGTCCATGTGGTTATCATATCTATGTTTTCTTTCTTTCACATCCCAAAATATTTTCAAAGTAAAACAAAGTAGCCAAGTCCCAGTGGCCACTGAAGACTTGGAAATCTCTTTGTCGTCAGTAACACAGCTTTTTCAACTAGCCAATGACTTCTACTGCCACAGAATGCCAGCCCCTTCCAAATTAGGCATGACAGCGTGCATATATAGTGCTGATTTCATTAGGTATCCTCCTGAACAGAGAGATGTACACTGGATGATATTGCTTTGAACAGACTAACGAAGATACAGACTTATGAGGCCTTTTTCCACCCTCTGCAGTGCTGCTGGCTCCAAGGCAACCTATGAAGCAAAGTGGGTTTTAGTGCATTTGACGGGATATCTTGCGTAGGCCTTCAGGATCGCGGGGAGAGGAGGAAGGAGCGACAGAAGAGATGCACAAACGTGTGTTTATAAGGGGTGAAGAGCGCCGCTGTAAGAAAGGTTAAAAGCTGCGGGGAGAGGAAGGAGAACCAAGCAGGAAGAAGAACGAGCGAAGTAGGGAGCAACCTACACGGCTCAGAAAAGGACAAAGAAGGTTTATTTTCT